ATATTAGTGCCAATATATTAATTATATACAATGCTAAACTCCTTGTTCGCGCTATTTGTATTTTTAGCAATTATTATCGCTTTTTTTGTTCAGCTTTTCCCGATATTTATACATAGATGTTAATATCAAGTGCAAATATAATATTCAAATATATTGAGAATATTTAAAACCTTATTGAATATTTGAATCTTTTGCAATTGTATTTTTTATGAATATTAATATTCTCTTTTATTTATTTTAGTCATCAGAATTTATACTTTTATTGTATATGTATATCAAAATATATACTATGCAATATTTTTTTAATTTTTTGCAACTGTGCATTCTTTTTTTCAATTTTGTTTTAGTTTCTTGTTAGGATTAGAAATAAGAAGTATAGTTGTATTTAAAGAAAGAAAATTTTACAAAAATAAACTTTGGGCGCATAAAGTATTATACTACTATTGAAAAATTACCGGTTCAAATTTTAAATTCTATTATCCATTTGATATATCGTATATGTGTGTGTGTATGTTAGATACATTTTTACTTTCATTCTATATTCTCAATTTAAACTAATTTGTATTTAGCTTAGCAGTAATGGGTTTTAATGGAAATGTAAATATATATTTGCTATCGATCATTTATATGTATGTTATATAATTCTCTTTTGTATTACCTCGCAGTGTATCATTTCTAACTAAAAGCTTTATGATTGCTGATTTATTTCAAATGCAAAATTATTAGCTTTTCTTACGCACCACATTATACATCTCTATTAATGTATCATAAATAATCCCATTGTATGTGTATTGTGTGTGTGTGTGTGTATTGTTAATAAGAAATGATATTATTTAAAATATTATTTACTTATTAAACCATGAGAGAGAGAAAAAGAGAGTGACAGAGTTATATTGATGAAAATCTCTCTTTATTGACGAAAATTGAGTTTGCGTGATTCAAAAACAAAAATCGATCCAATTTCATGCCGCGAAAACGGACACAGATTTCCGACTTTAAATTATTGCTGTGAATTTCGCAAATTTATTTATGATTGCGAGACATCTCGTTTGCAGATGCACTGTAAATACACTACTGCACACTCGACATTTACGATAAAACTTCAACCATAAAAGTTTTTATCAGAAGTAAGAGGGCGCGAAAAATGACAGTCCCATAATTTGTGTAAAGAAGTTTTTATTAAACGCGATCTCTCCATTTGAGATATATCATTCAAAAGAAAGATTTATTTAAAAATTGCCAAGAGAGTGTAACGGATGCAAAACTCCTAAGATTTTATATTTGCTATTAATAATTAAAAATTATTTTATATTTAATTTAGTTTTTAAATTAATCATTAAAAGTTAGTTTATTAAGTAATCAACTTTAGTTTATATTTAAATAAAAGAAGGAAAACATTTAAAGAGTGCCTTTCAAAATAAGGAATTTTTCAGAAAAGCGATTTATTGTATAATTGATGTTTTTGATATTACAATGTCTCGTCCTTGAAATATAAAATTGAGGCGGAAACGATATACAGATTAAATTATACATTTCACGTGTGAATTTCGCAAATTTATTTATGATTGCGAGACATCTCGTTTGCAGATGCACTGTAAATACACTACTGCACACTCGACATTTACGATAAAACTTCAACCATAAAAGTTTTTATCAGAAGTAAGAGGGCGCGAAAAATGACAGTCCCATAATTTGTGTAAAGAAGTTTTTATTAAACGCGATCTCTCCATTTGAGATATATCATTCAAAAGAAAGATTTATTTAAAAATTGCCAAGAGAGTGTAACGGATGCAAAACTCCTAAGATTTTATATTTGCTATTAATAATTAAAAATTATTTTATATTTAATTTAGTTTTTAAATTAATCATTAAAAGTTAGTTTATTAAGTAATCAACTTTAGTTTATATTTAAATAAAAGAAGGAAAACATTTAAAGAGTGCCTTTCAAAATAAGGAATTTTTCAGAAAAGCGATTTATTGTATAATTGATGTTTTTGATATTACAATGTCTCGTCCTTGAAATATAAAATTGAGGCGGAAACGATATACAGATTAAATTATACATTTCACAAATATTAAATATGTTTATTACGTCACTAATATTTATATCGTCATCACAGTTAAACTGCGTTTTACATTATCATATATTAAATATCGCTATAAAATCGTTACAAAATGTAAGTGATTGAAAACATAGCAGATCTTTTTAAAAAGAGTAGTGCATATATTAATATATTATTTTTAAATCATTTATTATTCAAACTATATTGTAGAGTATTTTTTAACACAACACAATATATATTTCATCTTATTATATTACTTTTATATAAAAGCGGTTTCTCAAATAGTACATTTCAAAATTATTATCACTAAAGTGTGTGAAAAAATGTAGTTTGTTAGATTATTAGATTTATTTTGATAGAAATCGTCAAAGTGATTTATTTTCTTTTATAGAAAGATTAAAATATACACTAAAAAAAATAAGAAAAAAAGATATAATGAAACAAAAATTTAATATTGTTTATTTCTTTTTCTTCATATAACATAACAAGTGAGAAAAAATCAATATCTCTCTTTCTCTTTATCATGGATGGAGCATGCCACGAAATTATAATATCAAAGATGCGAGAAGATAAAATCACTTCACATAAAATGCGAAATCTTCTCCGTTATATTCAAATGTGACATAATAGGATCTATTTTTACTCCGTTTGAATTTTAAACCGGAAAAAGGGAACGAACACTTGCTTTCAAATATTGAAACTTTGCAAATATTTCATGTTATATGAAATTCCGCAAGTTCCAAATCTCTCTCATTCTTTTAAAGGAACTTCTCATTAATATGTTATTGTACATCAAATAAATTTTATTAATTACTTCAAGAAATGACAGAAGAGCATATCTCTTTCATATCCGAAAGGAAATCGTACGATAACTCATTCTTTATTTCATTTCGATTATAAGAGTTTTCTTTTGATCTTTACGATCCAATTGTCAGAAGCACATTCATACATTTTTGCAAAATAGTTCTATAAAAAAAGAGGTATAAGTGACACACTTCTCTTTATGATTTAGAACCTCGCGCGATTCCATAAATATCTCTTATTCACAAACTTCCCTTTCTTTGCCCTCTGTATGTTAGCAAAAAATGAATTGGGGATCTGCATAATAGAATGCAAATCACATCGAACGGGACATCGGAAAAAACATAAATCTTCATTAATTTTATCAGAGATATATTTTATATTTGACCACAAATGCCATTTCTTATTATTTCTATATAAATCGTAATTACTGATAGAGAAAAAAATGTATGATGACTCATATACGATATTAATAAATACTCAAATGACTTCATCTACTTAAATATCCACATTTTAGATACAAGAACTAATTATATATATTGTACATATTATATATAAATGTACATATATAATTAGATGTATATAAATCTTGTACAATATATTAAACGCGCGCTTAAAATAAGAGTTTAAAAATCTAATTATCTCCAAGTTAATTTTTTTTTATCTAGAATCTTAAAGAAATATTTAAGATCGAAAGATTGGAATACATAAAGTTAATGAATTTTCGAAATTAAAAAATTGAAATATGTAAAGTCAATGAGTTTTCGAAATTGTTAAATATCAGATAAAGTATGAATTCATCTCACATAAACATACGTTTATGAATTCTACGAACAATAATTGATTTAACATATCTACATTTTCATACAGTATAACTTTTGATATGCAACTAGTGTCTCATATTGTATAATCTCGTTACATTTGTGTTCCATCTCCGATTGGCGTATTCTAATTAATACGCGTACTTTCATCAATGCTGCGGTTGTATACAATCTCTATGTATATGGCAAAAGGAAACGCCAACAAGCATCGCATGCACAATATGTCGATACCCTGCATACACCAATGTTACTCACTTCTATTTAACCCCGGGGTTTCGCGTAAAATATAAGCTTTCATCTCTCTTTAGCCAGCTATACACGGGTGACAGAAAGACGCATGGACGGTGGGTTAATTTGACATACGTTTAAGCAGTATCTAGTATAATAAAGCAATGTACATGCAGTGATTTTATGCAACGTCATCGCACGTACGTGTTCATTGCTTCATTATTATCTATTGTTTAAACGCGCAGTAAATTAACGCGGATTTATGCGCCTTTTTGCTTCTCGTGTGCAGCCGGCCTTTATAAAGCAAAATTTAAACAATTATTAAATTTCGGGGAAAAAAAAACAGGTAACTAAACTAGTCAATTTGTTAAATTTGTCAATCTATTTCTACTTTCATCATTTTTTAAATAAAAGAGTCCAAAGTTACATGTAACTATGTCCTCATAAGACAATCAAATTAAACTTTGTGCTCGGAAACTCTGCAAATAAGTCGGCTGAAACTAATTTCACGCTTGTTCGCTCGAATATGCCAAGTTCATAATCTAGCGAACGAAAATATCTTCCACTTGCCAGTTTATTAGCAAATGGAATACACTTTTGTTCATCGTATCTTATATACAGTATCTGATCCCTAGGTATCGAAATTCAATATGCACCAATGTTAGATCCGGGAGAAGTTCCGACATAAAAATTTCACGTCGCGTATTGCACAACATGCACATGCACACTGCACATCATGTTGCGCAAACGAAAAAATAAAATAAATAAATATCTTTATGGAAGTGACATGTGCGCAGATATTGGCGCGTTTGGCAAAGAAAGAAAATTTGCATTACGTACGATTATTTACACATATTACTATCGAGAAACCAGCGAGAGAAACTCAACATAACGATCTT